TTTCGTTCTAGGTTCTGCAAATCTATTCCAGGATTACTCGGGTGTGTGAAAGGAGTTTGCTACATGACAGCAGGAGAGATTGGGCGATAATTGCCAATGTCGTACAATCTCCCTTCTTGTACAGCAACACAGTCTTGCTGGTTTTCCACGAGGTGGGTACCTTGCATTGCGACAGGTAGCGCGTGAATCGAGCCAGAGTTTTTTTGGACAGAACTAGAGCCGGAAGATTCCTTCAGTTGTTTGGGGGTCTGATTCCTGTCGGGACCGGGTGCCGTACGATTCTTCACCGACGAGATGGCGTGTCGGACTTCGGAAGAGAGAACTGCAGGAACGACATATCCATCCTGCTCCAAGCGGTATGGTTGCAGGTGGACGTGGCTGTCAAAGAGATCCGAGTAGAAGTCGTGGATGACCTTCTCCATTGCCCTTCTGGATGCGGTGATTGTTTTCCAAACCCGGGAGCGCTCGGAGGACGCGTCTCTTACGTCTTACATGTTGCGGAAGTCGCGGCGCGCGTTAGCGTTACGCTCTTCCAGCCTCTGCGGCTTCACGTTACTGCTGCCTTCTCTCCTTGAGTCTCCCTTATCGCTTCGCTTGCATAGCTTTCGCAACTCAGACGTCAGCTCGCGTATTGCTTGGCGCTCGTGCGGCACTCCACGTTGGCGAATCAGCTCGAGAGTTTCCAGAGATAGACGCTTCTTGGTCATCTTGGAACCCTCTGACCTCTTGGCGCAGTCGTGAAGATGTGCAACAAGCCGTTCGTATTCCTCGTCGATGTTGTCAATGACAGAATCCTCCCAGAGCCCAGCGAGAGAAGTGAAGTGATCCCAGTTGATGGTGGGTCTTGGGGCTTCGCTTCTTGAACTTTGCGGCTCTCTCTCCTCGCATCGAAAAGCGGAATCTTGCGCGAAGGAGACGATGGTCGGATCCCGTGTAGAACTTAGGGACAACAGCAGCCGACATCGTCAGGCCATAAACCTTCAATTGCAGATGATGTGGTCGATCTCGTTATGGAATTGTTACCAGGAGACTCCATGTCCAGCGTAGAGAGTAGGGCTTCTGGAACTGCGAGTTACCATGGATGGTGTGGGTCGACATGATAAACTCAGACAGCCTTTCACCCTGCTCATTCCACTCCGTTCCGTGAGTTCCGATGTGAAGTTCTTCAGCCGTTCTTCTTGGTCCGATCTTAGCGTTAAATCACCGACGATGGACCTGAGAAGGTATGATCTTCCTTGTAGAACTTCTCCAATTCCATATAGAACGCTTCGAGCTCATCCTCGTCGTAGCTTGATGTTGGTGCGTAGGCGACGAAGATTGTCAAAGCTGGAGTTGGAGAACAATCTTTCCTCGAATCCGCAAACGTCGATTCGGGTCGTCAAGACTTTCCGTGGACGAGTCGATGTCATGGCCAAGTGCGTGTTGACGAGGACGCCCACACCGCCAACGCCTCTGCTGTCGCATGTTCCGAGGAACAGTTCTTCTCCAGTCTCGTACACGGCGTGTAGCGGGCGATGCCTCCTCGTCTCGGTCAGTCCGATGACGTCGTACTTGATCTTCCTGGCTTGCAACATCAGATCTTCGATGTGAGCTTCCGATGCAAGCGTCGACGTGCGTTGAAAGTACAGATCGTCATCCTTAGTCCTGGGCGACTCAAATCTCCGTTGGCCCTGTGATTTTTGCAGCCTCGTCCGAGCGGTCCCAGCCGACGTCGCCCTGTCGGTGGTTCCCTCAGCTTCAGGGGAATGAGGCCCATAGTTGTTACTGTTTTTGGCGAGAAGAAAAACTAACACGCGTATGCCTCGCCAGCTCTGAGTAGTGGCACCATCCCATCAGGTACGTTTTTGGAACAGTCCAAAACCGTTCACCCCCACTCACGAATGAGGCTGTGGATTAGTCGAATTTCGTGCGGGGATTTAGAAAAAATTTTATAGTGGCCAATAATAGTGATGATCTCTAGGACTCTTGCTGCTAGAGGTGTTTGCATGGCGTAGAGTGCCAATAAGTCCACTAATATATTAGGTTGTTCCGGAAAGTTCTCAGCGTTTTGTGTTACTATCTTTTGTATTATACATTCATTGCCGATTAAAAACTCATTTTTACTTGCGTCTCAGTAGTACATCCTAAAGAAACATTTTTTGCGCTACCTGATGGTATAATTGCCGTTTCACCATTGCGTTGAGATGAGGCCCCCTTCTCCTAGAGACTTTTCCCCGCGTCAACAAGAGCAACTTCGAAGCTTTCGAACCCGATATTTTCCCTTAAACTACAAAATGGTCAACCCAGTTCGAGAAACAGGCTCGACAAATTCAACCAGGTGAGGGCCCATTAGTGATTGGAGAATGCACGTGCTTACAACGTTTCGAACAAATAATTTCGTTCTGGAGACTCCAGCCTTGAAGATGAACCTCGTAATGGTCGGCCCAAAGCAATAACTGACGAGGATTTGAAGGTGTTTGTGGAGGCTGACCCATCCCAAACAGTTCGAGAGATTGCAGAAAAGCTAGGCGTTGGCAAATCCACTGTTGCGGATGGTCTGAAACGCATTGGGAAGGTGAAAAAACTCGACAAGTGGGTGCCCCACAATTTGAGTGACCGGCAGAAGTTGGCACGTTTCGAGGTTTCTTCTTCACTGCTTTTGCGCAATAGAAAACACCGGTTTTTAGACCGAATTGTCACCTGTCATGAAAACTGGATCATATGATGCACAAGGACCTATCCGGAGCGTGACCTTAGATGCCGTAAGCAACCACCGCAAGCAATTTCCAAAGCCGAATCTCCACGAAAAAAAAGGTTGATTAGGTCACAGTGGTGGGTGATCACTATAACGTGTTTGGGTCACCGGTGGCCAACATCACAGCCAGAAGTCCTACTGGGACGGAGAAGATCGGACGAAAATGTACGCGCAAATAGTCAGCTGCAAGACAAGCACACATGTCAGAAAGAGATGGTACCGACGCTTTTGATGACAACGCCCGCCCAGCACGAGTTGCACAATCACCATCATAAACTTAGAAACGAACTGGGTGTTGCAGGTTCTTTACCTGACGCCGCATATCTCCAGACCTGTCCACGCAAACCGACTAGTTCACCCTTTTCAAACAGTTTGAGATCTTCTATTGCTGTAAAATAGTCATCATCAGGACGGGCAAAAAAGCACATCGTGATTCGTAGAAATCTCTACCACACAGATCCTTGCTTCGAAGGGATTTATCGACTAGTGTCACATTGCAAAAGTGTGCTGATTCGGACGGTGCTTATTTCGATTAAATCCGATGAGCATCAAGAGTTATGATCGCTTAAAGTGAAACACTCAAAGCGCTGAGATTTTTCCGGACAACCTAAATAGTATGCTTCTCCAAGGCTGAAGTCTATTAGAAAAGAGGACCACAATCTCAGCAGGATGAAGAGCAAAAGAGAGTGAGTGCATGACGGTGTGAACTTTTGCAACTGCCACGTTTGCATTTCGCACTTTTTATCTCAGCACTCAAATTGCAGAAGAGGCTCGCAACTTGTACTATATATGACTCAAAATAATACTTCCCATGACAGCTTGAAGCTGGTTCGAGCGATCAAGAGACGAGACATTCCGGACCTATGTAATTGTGCACCGGTTCGGACCTTGCACATCGTGTCACGGCATGGGGTGCCCTGATGCGAGCCGAGCTGACTTTCAAATTTACCAGCCTAACTTTTAAGCGTCTACATCAGCCAAGGATGATGCTTGATAATGATGAAGAAGCATCCTGTGACCTTTGACCACTCCTCAACCTTTGGCATGAATCTCCGTGAATAAGGTGAGTTCTCGGGTTCGGCCCGATAGGGGACAATTGGTTCGCACTGCCTTGTCTGCGGAGTTAGAATAAGGAAATCTATAGCAGAACTTCAAAACCTTATAAGCATTCACTATCGAGACATAGCTCCTGACAATATAAAATAACGTCGAGCCTGTGCGGTTTTAGGTTTTTAATTAGAAGGTGAAATAAGTAGGCTCGAAAATGCTCAATTTCTCGACCTAACATTCCAGTTTAAGCACTTAAATATTAGCGGGAAGAGGAAGTTCAAAAAACTAAGAGGAGTATCGTATGGGGCAAGGAGGTCTCTTCAAAACAGTATAAGCTCAATGGCAAAACTTCTCATTTTTGGCGTGATATTTCGAGTGGGGAAAAAAACGCCATTACTTGTGGGTCGACCCAATGTTTTCTTGAACAGGTGTTGTGGAGGTTCGGAAGTGTTCATACCGTGACCCCTGACGAAACATTGGGCATTCACTGAGATGATTAAAGGTGCCAAGCTCAAATTCATTGCTTTCCATCAGCTCTCAACCTTACGGAACGTATTGTATTGTTCAAAAGAATTGCCTCGTCTACGCTCTCTACAGAGGGCTGGTACAGCTCCTTATTCAAGCGATAGTCTTTTCAACAAGAGCTGGAAAAGTTAGTATGCATGCGAGCTAGAAGGTTCGAAGGTAAAAAGGAACACTTTTCGTGATAACACTGTGGTGAAGTGCATGCATTTTAGCATGCCCTTGATGGACGTTTTCTGAAGAACATTTCACTGTGACCTGGCAGTTTTCGAAGATGCGAACACTACTCTGATGTCAACATTCGCCGAGGTTTCAAAAGGGGATAGAGTTCAATAGTAATGGCCATCGATAAAAGGTACCATCCTAAAAATGGAAGCCAGCGACTGACGATGGGTGCGCATGGCGGATCTGCGCTAGGAGCGCTAAACCACTCGCTCCTTGAGTCATCAAAAAACCTGTACGCTTCCGATTTGCGAATTGTAACGATCTGATTGGGAAGGGGACCAATAACAATTCTAGACTGGAAATCAAGGTGGACAATCGTTTAAGGGAAAACAGAAGCATCGTAGTAGACTTTCACAACGGAGGGGTTCAGATGCAGTTTGCAGTCGCAAACTTCGCTTTGATTAAAACCGTATGTGATGTTCCCGGCAAATATATTTATCTATGGTTCCTTCTATTACCATGAATTTTATTAATTATTAATGTATGCTAAATTGAGTTTCCTCTTCACATTTCGATACAGTGGTTCCATAAGTGACGGGGGATACACGGTCATCTTGAACGGTCCAAATTTTTCCACGTCTGGTAAATAATGCTTGTACCAATCGCCTGACATGATGTCTCGGTAGTGCCTAAGATAGGCTTTTGAAAAAAGGTTTTGTTATGCTGATAAAGATAATGAGGAACCTGATTATCCCTTCATTTATAGGGACTTCATGTCCACCGTAGCCAGGGAAATATATTTCCACATGATGTACCCACATCAGAAAAACCTGGAAAAGCTCGAATTAGGAAGAGTGTCCATTACATTGAATCCGGACGAAGAGCTTGAGGATTGGAAAGAAATGTTGAAGAAAGAGAAACGAATAATCAGAGAAAGTCTGATCAGAAAGCGAGGAGCTTCTGGGATTCCTACTTACTTTTTTAGGATCTATGATACACTTCGCAGTGTATCCAATGGGTGCAGGCGCTGAACTGTTGTGATAGACGAGCGTTGGTAGATGATCTTTGAGTGTTTTTTCTCCCTGAAACTCTGAGTAAGTTCGCAATCATTTGGCGGTAGCAATCTGTTCAAAGTCACAACTTATGTCAACAGTACGGGCGAAGGCGAACAACAGTCGAACCCAACTTACAGGTGCCCGCTACTCTTCTGAATAACGCTATGGTATCTGCTCTGCTTTGGGACACCAACCTCTTTTAGGGTGGAACTTCCTAAAAATGCTGGTATACGGCTCGCGGGCCGATTCCCAAAAGACTCCGGATTACTGTTTTAGGTTTAGCGGTTGGGATAAATTCCTTGCAAGATCTAGAGTTTGGAATAGCCGTCAACTACTTACTGAAGAGGTACTGAGCACTCGATGCTCAATGTGAGAAACCCCTGATCGAAATGATAGCCGTGATTATTGTCAATAGAAGTTGTTTAGTAATGGTGAGTTAGGGGAACTTTTGGCCAAAATAAAAACATTAAGTAGCGCTTTTTTGTTTTGTCTTTTCCGGGCGAGATCAATGATCTTACCAAAAGATAATAGGCGTAATATAAACTTTGGTTATGTGGGTGTGCTCTGGAGCTTAACAAAGTTCACAAAAATGATGGTTTCTTTTCTTATAATTCACTTCTGAAACATTGAAGTACAGGTTTGTAGCCATGGCGCCCAATTAGAGTTTTGTGACGAGGGCGGGATGATCCCGCCACAAACTGCCTTGCTCTACTGGCGGTGATCTTCTAGTGACTTATTCACGAAGAAAATAAGCAAAGATGGTAGGCCTCAGGGGCAACCCCATCTTCTAGAAAATCAGCGACTAGATAGCAATGTACGAATCACCAAGCTACAGGGTTATTCTGATGGTTGTATATATACTGGAACACAGAGCCGGAGTCTTTGGTGAAAATTCCAAGGGCCATTGCATTCGGCCGTGTCTGAACGACGCCTTGGGCGTTACAAGTAAAAAGCGTTGCATTGCAGCATTATTAAAGAGCAAAAGTTGATGGATATCCTATCTCTCTCACACACTACAAACTGGGTCAATCCGCAGTCGAGACAGCTCGACAAATTAACCAGGTGTGGGGGCCCAATAGTGTTGGAGAAAGCACCGTGCGACAATGGTTCGACAAATTTCGTTCTGGAGATTTCAGCCTTGAAGATGAACCTCGTAGCGGTCGACCTAAAGCAATACCTGACGAGGATTTGAAGGCGTTTGTGGAGGCTGACCCAGTTCGAGAGATTGCAGAAAAGCTAGGCGTTGGCAAATCCACTGTTGCGGATGGTCTGAAACGCATTGGGAAGGTGAAAAAACTCGACAAGTGGGTGCCCCACAATTTGAGTGACCGGCAGAAATTGGCACGTCTCGAGGTTTCTTCTTCACTGCTTTTGCGCAACAGAAACGACCCGTTTTTGGACCGAATTGTCACCTGTGATGAAAAGTGGATCATGTATGATAACAGGAGACGTTCCGGACAGTGGTTGGATGCCGACGAACCACCGAGGCAATTTCCAAAGCCGAATCCTCACGAAAAAAAATGGTCACAGTGCTGTGATTCATCGGCGAGTATGATCCAC